TGATGCACTTGATGTATGCATCAGTGATTTGAATTTAAAGCTTTGGCACAAAAGGTGGCACTTGTTTATTAATGCGGCAACTTTGTACCTTCGCACTTGCTCTAGCATTTTCACGGCAATGTCGGATTTGCCATGTCGCAGGTGAAACTGTGCGCTCTCTCTGATTATGACGCCAAGGTCTGGTGAGGTGGGCTGAAATGTAAAACGGACACCATGGCAAACAGTGGTGAAACCATGCAAGCTTGTGATATGGATGAAAACAGCTGCACCTGACGCTCTATGCTAACACCGTACATCATCAAGACAATGTAATATAAAACATTTATAATAATAATAACAGTAATAATATATATTATATAATTGTAATAAAGTAGTTTTTGCAAGTAAATATTGAGACTCTCCAATAAACATAATAGAACTGTGAAACACAAAGACGTCAGTAACCAAAAAGTGAACTAATACGTATAGCCAAGGCATTTGCAATAAAATCTTTGCACACAACAGGCGACAGCTTTAATGTAAGTGTCTAGGGCTATACTTACATCGTGTTCTTTGTACCACTTGACAGCATTCATCAATACTTCTGAAGCAGCTTCTGTATTCTCTAAGCTGCTATACAGAGCCACAAGAGCGGAAACCTGACAAGAAAACAGACAACGTACGCCGTCAGAAAACCATACACGAACGTTTTGCCGAAACTCTCCGGTTCTTCAATTCATTCACCCCCGATTTCTTCCGTATAGTAGTAATTGTAACACCGCTCCAGAACCGATCCCATCATCAGTCGCTGTACGTCCACGCGGGAGTGAGTAAGCGATACACGCTATCGGGACACCCACCACGCCTGGCTTGTGACTGATTTCTCCCAGCGATTGCAGCAACTCGCACGCCTGACCCAGATTGCCCAGCTGCAGGTGAAGCTGCGCCAACGTCAGCTGAAGACTTCTGGAGCTGCTCTCGCTCTTCGTCACGTAGTTCTGCAATACAGATGCGTCGCAACCCGTGAACAACAAAATACGCTAAACTCCAGTGAGCATAGCGTTTAGTCTGCAGTGCGGTTCCTTTTCAAGCACCTCACTACCTCACTACCTCGCTATCGCCTCGCTATATGACGTAATGCAAATAAAAGTAAAAACCTCTCCCTTCTTCTTTCGATTCATTCCATCCTTTTAAGCACCCCATTACCGCCATTGCCTTACTATGATGTAACGCTAATAAAAGTAAAAAAAAACACCTCTCCCCTCTACGAAAACACGACAATGGCGTCGCAGGTCCCTACGACAAACCCGCCAGCCGACTCCTACCTGGAGGTACTGAATAGCCTTGTTCACTTGTTTCTCCTTGCAGAGCTGCGCGACGAGGATGAGATGCGGGATGTCTGACGCCGGCTGCTCCGCCTGCAGACGATTGCTCGACTTCCGGCACTGCTCGCTCTGCAGCAACATGAAAACAACATTTGTCTCACCACGTGCCAGCACCTTTATATGCAACATTGGGCTCAGAAAGCCCCGACTACATGTCGTTACACACCGAACTAGCATTACAAGTCCAAACCATTTGGGATTCATCTCCAAACTTAATTATTTTATAAAGAAACCCAGCGCCAACAACGTCTCACCATGTGCCGGCACTTCTACACACAATGTCGGGCATAGAAAGCACCGATTACGTGTTGTTATACACCAAAACTAGCACCACAACCCTCAATATACTAACACGGAGGGCATTCCAGCCACAGACGAACCCACTACATCTAAAATGAGTAATCCAATGAAGATGTGATGAAGATCCGATCCATGTAAATAAATGAAATCGAAACCATTTGGGATTCATCTCCAAACTTAATTATGTTATTTGTTTAAATCCGACGACGTCATCCCGAGCTCTGTGTCCGCACGTGTTACCATAGCGACCCGTGTACACATTTACCTGGTTGCTGTGCATGTATAGCAGACATTGGTTGAAGGCAATGGCTCGCTGCTGGGCAGAGTTCAGCTTGTACTTCAGATTGTCCGAAGTCGCAGCACGCATCTTCTTTTTCGAGTCGAACAGATTCTGGTCCTAAGAGTTCAAAGCGTGAAAACACGTTACTTTACTTGTCCCAAAGTTTCACAGGTAAATGCCTCTTACTTAGCTATCGAACCGTTTAACATGTATAACCTCCTTACTTATCTGACAGTTTCATGTGAACACCACCCTTAATCAATTATCCTCAAATTTCACATGTACGCCCCCCCCCCCATTGGATCGATAATACTACAAACTCACTCAAACAGTACAGACTTTGTTTACTTCAAACAGCACATCACAGCACCCCAACAACAAGCCCCCTCACGCACATGCGCGAGTTGGGCATCCGCTTCCAGGCCAGACGGGAAGGGAGATAACTCTCATTTAAGTTGGCATGTATACAGATAGTACATAGTTAACACCCCTCTTACTTCTCCAACGAGTTTCACAGAAAAACATCCATCACTTAGTTATCTTGAACTTTCATATGTCCATCTCCCGTTACTCATTCATCCCAGAGTACCGCATATAAACAAACCTTACACACCAATCCCACTGTTAAAGGTTAGGTGCTGACGTCACGGCTATCACATCACTTGATTCACTGTTGGTCAAACTCACCTTGTTAAAGACTACGATGTTGTTGAAAGCAACAGCTGCTACTCCCACATCCGACGGTTTCTGCTTTAGCACCTGGTTGTACAGCTTTAGGGCTTGCTCTGGTTTTCCCTGCATCTGCAGCACATAGCCTAGCTGAACTCTGTAACAGACGTAGTAGTAGAATGGTAGTAGGTGGTGGTGGTGGTGGTGGTGGTGGTGGTGGCGGTGGCGGCAGCGGCAGCAGCAGCAGCAGCAGCAGTAGTATAGTAGTAGTAGCAGTAGCAGTAGCAGTAGTAGTAGTAGTAGTAGTAGTAGTAGTAGTAGTAGTAGTAGTAGTAGTAGTAGTAGTAGTAGAGTAGTTCCAAGTGTCAAGTTTATTATCAAAATCCCACCACTCTCACAATACATTAATAAAATATGTTCCCGTTTAGTTTGCGGGCTGGATCCACAAAGCGCAGAAGATATGCCGTGCATGCATGCAGCCAGAATATAATTAGAACTGACAGCGACAGTATACAGTGTATCTGCCTTTTGTGTACTTCAGCATAAGAAAATCATCGTTCACAGGTTGCAGTAGAGGGTCAAAGATTTGAGGTAGCTGATCAGCGTAAATGACCATGCCTAGCTGGGCGGCCATGTTTACATGTTGCTGTGTGCATGTTGTGTACATCACTGTATCCACCGATTTTTATTCGCATTGTTTTTTTTTCATTCAAATCTCGTCACAGCAAGGCAGCTTATGTCTGTGCAAAACAATGCAAGAGACAAGTGAAAAAAAAAATCATTATGTCTAGACTTTTAATAAAAAAAAAAATTGCTTGCCCAAACGGGCATGTGCAATTTCAAGCTACTTGCCCGAGGGCGAATTTTGGTTTCCCCGGGCAAGAGGGCAAGTGGGTTTGTCGCGCCCTGGTAGTAGTAGCAGCAGTAGTAGTAGTAGTAAGATAATATAGGATATCCTATATTATCTTACTCCTGGTAGTAGTAGTAGTAGAAGCACTATCAGTAGCAGTAGCAGCACCACTAGCAGTAGTAGTAGTAGTAGTAGCAGCAGTAGCAGTAGTAGTAGTAGTAGTAGCAGCAGTAGTAGTAGTAGCAGTAGCAGCACCACTAGCAGTAGTAGTAGTAGATAGTAGTCCATGTTACATTCACACTTTCCATGTAGAGACATCCATGCCACAGTTAGCTACTATCCTCCGACACACCCAATTCAACAGTTCTACAGGATTCTGAAGTTTTTCCCTAAGAATTTAGCAGCCCGGATCGGTTTGCATCAAAAGCATTGTTTTTTGTAAAGATAATAAGTCTTTTTAGGCATCCGATCGTGACAACTGAGTATCAAATCTTTGCTCGACTATACATATTGTAAAACGCAAAGGCTAATGATAATGCTGCGTTAATGTAAGATTAATTAGAACAGCTGTATAAACGAGTACCTGATAATTTCAAGTTCAGCATCAATTTCCTCTTCCGTAGCATCTTCGTCCCCTTCGAATCCCTTCCTGCATAGACCTGTTATGGTATACAATGGTATACAAATAACATGATATGTGATAACAATGATAAATGATTACAAACATCAACCGGCAATGCTTTTAAACGTTTCTACAACACACGCTGCAAACATCGAATACACTCCACGAAATGCACATGCGACGATAGAAGAACAACAGACGCTAAAAACTAACAAACACATAACGTTAAGATTTGGTTTCTCCTGTGTAGCATAAGGATGAAGCCTCATGTCCCACTAAGATCGAAGAAGAATAAATAGGTCAGTATGTAATGTCACCCTCTCACAGAATCAAGACAGAAGATGACACGGTTTAGCACAACGGGACTCACTCTCAGCGCGTCTCAGCTTCTCTTCGGCAGCAGCGAAATCTTTCTTCCCCAGCAGGTAACACGCAGAGTTGTACGACAGCTCATACGTCTCCTCTCGCAGTCCATACTGGTCCTACAGAATGATCATGTCATATTTATTATTATTTTATTATATTATTATTTTAGTTATTATAATTTTTTATTATATCACGTGCAACAACAAACTTCCCCTCGCTGAGGGGAAAGAGGCTGAAAAGGGATTCCAGTCTCATCTCTGAGTAATTGCTAATGCTTACACTCGATTATACGATACCCCCTTGAACATCATATCCCAATTAATCTTACAATGGCTTGCATCAGACGCTCCCAATTAGCGACACGACCATATATCATATACCATATTCGAATGTTTAATTAACGATTTTGAGATGGTGCATCGAAAATGGAATTGAGTCAGAGATTGATACACAGTAGGGGTAAATGAGCTACAAGGATCTTGTAGAAAATTCATCCCCAGATACACAGCATGAAGTAAGAACTACGAATTTGATGAAACTCGTGTAAAACCGACACAGAATAATAGTAGTCAGTAGAGGCTAGAACGTGATTAAGCTGTACGTCTATGTATTACTTACAGCTTTAGGATTGTTCTGGGCGCTGAGGGCAGCGAGTACAGCTGCTAGATTAGTTTCTCTTTCCTCTTCGTAGTCATCCTGAAATGACACAACGATGCATATACTAAGTATCACAGCAAAGCAATATTAAACTAGAAAGGGCAGTTGTCGCCAATTACACGTATCCCCCGTGATCTAGTATGAATGAAATATCTCTGTAAGGACGTAGAAGGTAGGTAAAGTTAAATAAGTCACAAAGACAAAGGTTTGTTATACAACTCATCTGCCTGAGATGTGCAAGTATGATAAAATTGGTACGCGACACACCTTCTCCCCAAGATGTGTAAGTATACAAAGTATGCTCGCGCTAGGTCAATTAGGGGCCGAGTTATAGAGCAAAAGGGAAATATGATGAAGGTCAAGGTCAAGGTTAATGTCAAATAAAGCTTGCAGTGACCTGGTTTCGGTACGCGACACACCTTCTCCCCAAGATGTGTAAGTATACCAAGTTTGGTCACGCTAGGTCAATTAGGGGCCGAGTTATAGAGCGGAAGGGAAATATGATCAAGGCCAAGGTCAAGTTCAAGGTCAAATAAAAGCCGCAGTGACCTGGTTTTGGAACGCAACATACATTCTCCCCAGGATGTGAAAGTATAATAAGTTTGGTAGCGCTAGGTCAATGAGGGGTCGAATTATAGAGCGGAAGGGAAAATCTCTGCGGCGACCGAGCGGCAGCGGCTGGACAGACATGAAACCATAGTATCCCCGCCGACTTCGTCGCGGGGGACACAATAAGAGCACACTCACACTAGGTTTGAGTGCTGGTCTTCCAATTTATACAACTATATAGACTTACACAGCAGTTTATTATGATAACCCTCCACGTAATACTTACTGTTAGATTCTTCACCAGATCTCTGTAAACATCAAAACACTCAGCCGACTTTTCCAATCGATACAACTGCAAAAAGAAATCAATGAACATTACGTCGAGAAATTATACACAAATAGGGGAAACTGAAACAAGAGGAAAGACACATGTAACTTTTGCTGAACTTGGAAACAAGAAACATGAGTTCAGATATCAGATTAAATGCAAAATGATTATGAAAAAGCACTATGAGAGCTTGACGAAATTCACACTCAATGATTCTGCTGATAGACTATTATCAGAAGACATTAAAAAACAATTAAAGTGTTGGTAATTATAGTGGCTTAATTTTTTAGTCATCTTCTATGGAGAGGGGTACATGAAAACTGCATAACACTGGCACAGATTACTCTCAGAAAAGAGACACGACATTTATATCTAAAACGCACGACTTGTCCTAGAAGTTCTTTGATCTTGTCACTTGGATTTGTGACATTCCTCAGTGTGGTTAATGACTCTTGCACTTGATTCAGCCGATACTGACAATAAGCCTTCTCAAATATCAGCTCACTAGAAAAGGAAAAAGTAAATACTACAACGTACACTATACACTGCAGGAAATGTTTTCGCCAGTTCTCAGATGTCAAAGTTTGTATTATTTGAATCTAGATTAAAACTAAACGCACATCTTACCTAGACAGTTGTGGCGTTTTGTATATCAGTTTTAATGCTTCGTCAAACCTTGATAGTTGAATAAGGCAGACCACCTTACAGTGAAAAGCTTTGCCATCATCAGGAACTTCTTTCAAGACTATAAAGTGAGAGATATTAGAAATGTAAAATCTATGAATAACCTTAGCCATGCATGCTACATATGTCATAATTTATCAACACATTTTGCAAACACTCATCGCATTGTCATTAAAATAACATAAGAATACTGATTTTGTTTGAATTCAGTTATTCACGGTACCAAGTATATATCTGTATTTACATGACAGGGGTTAGAATTAGGTTGTTGTTATGGTGGTGGCCTTTGATCATGATAATGATGTACCATTGTATCAAGAGCGTATAAAGAAGGAGAGCGTACAACGGTGAAATGCTGAAACCATGTTGCAGTATTAGTTTAATTTAGAAACTTTGCCCGTTTTATTTTGACGATTCTTTGCGGTATTATTGATCAGCTGTCCTACCTTGCTAATATAAAACAAACCGCTTGTCCCTACTCTGAGATAATGAGCGGTGGAAATCTGGTATTTTTGCCGAAAACCAACTCAAGATCCCTGTTTACTGAGACCCTCTCTCGCTTTGTGGCCAGTGTGTTGGTTCCGGTCGCCGCTGTGTAGCGCTGACTCATTACGTCCGTACTACAGAGTTTACTAGATCCAGTGTGAGGTGGGCACAGGTGGGGGTCATCACTGACACTATGGCAATCAATAACAGATGTCATTCATTTAATTTGTCAATCATTGACGGAAACACACGAGGTTTCCCAAAGTTATCTCAAAGCAAGAGACAGTCGCAGTCAGCAGGTATCTCGAGTCGGTTTTCGGCGAAAATACCAGATTTTCATCGCTCAATATCTCAGCGTAGGGGTGTACCGCAGTATTTGGATGCTCGCCTGAAACTGGACGCTCCTAAGTGCGCATGCGCGCATGCTCTTTTGTTTTTCTCTTGTTTTCTTTTTGTTTGAATCTTGTTTTGCAGGGCCGTAGGAAATAGTAGCCATGCTTTTTTGTTTTCTTTTTGTTTCGCCTTGTAACCTGACACACATAACAAAGTCTTACTAACTTACTACATTGCAAATTGTTTCAATCAAATGTTTCCATGAGTGACCGGGTTGGCCGCCATGTTTCATTGTTTGTTTATTGCGACCGTTTTCGATGGGCGAGATGCGCAGATGACTACTGCGCATGCTGCGCATGCGCCCTTGTAAAACAAGAGGCGCCTGCGCACTTAGAAGCGTCCAGTTTCGGGCGAGCATCCAAATACTACGGTACAGGTCAGGGGCATCGTAGGGACATGCGGTTTTTTTTATAGGTAGGACAGCTGGTCAATAATTATAATAGTATTAATAGTAATACTGCAAAGAATCATCAAAATAAAACGGAAAAAGTTTATTAATTTGACTAATACTAATAGTAATAGTAATAGTAATACTGAAACATGGTTTCAGCATTTCAACGTTGTATGCTCTTCTTCATTATACGTTCTTGATTGTATGTATGGGCCGGGGAGGGGAGAGGGTCCTAACTTAGAAGCTGATTCTTACTAATACTACTACTACTAGTACTAGTAGTAGTAGTAGTACTATTACCTATTAGTATTATTAGCTAGGCCCTATGCGAATGAATGGCTGGAATATGGAACTTGGAAATGCCAAGAAGTTCGATATTAAGAAATGCTAAACCAAGTTCTGTATTGCATCGGTGCTGGCGACGTTAGACCTACTTTTGTTCACTGTACGGAGAGCTCTCTCATGTTCCTGGTTCTTGCCTAAACGGTTTAATTCGGCAAACAGTCCAGATATATTTACAGTTGCTTGGCTAGCGTTCGCCATGTTTTTGTCACCGTGGCTGGTATTGTAGACTGGTCCACGTCCTCTATATTTATCACTCCACTGTGCCAAACTCCACGACAGATGGCGCTCTCGCTCTGGCTCAATTCTGGTATATCCTGAGTGTGGGAAGGGGGCGCTGCATGCAGTTTGATATCCTGAGTGTGGGAAGGGGTCGCTGCATGCAGTTTGCCACTGTGCATGTGCGAACAACAGAAAATCGGGACCAGACTCCACGACAGATGGCGTTCAGGTGGCGTGGTGGGTCTATCATAGACCCACTAGGGTCTAGGGTCTATGATGGTCCCTATGGTCTACTATGGTCTCTATATACAGGGACCATAATGGTCCCTGTATATA